TTCTTATTTTCTACTGCTTATTTCTACTTATTTCTCTATTTCTACAGCTTATTTCTACCTTACCTATCTTTAGCTTAACAAAACCTAAGAGATTTCTTATTTTCTACTGCTTATTTCTACCGCTTTTTTTCTTCAGTTTTTAGGGATCCACTTCCTTTTATGCTTTTCTACCTTATTTCTTGTCTATTTTTTACTTATTCTCTCCTTAAGAAATTTAAAAATGCTTCAATTAAGCACTGCCCCATGTTTTACACCGAGCTGTTACCAAACCTCGCTCCCTCCCTTACTTTTGCTTTTTAGCCTTACTTTCTGCTTTTAGCCTTACTTTTAGTGATCCCCTTCCTGGGATCTGAATTTCCCAAGTTTTACACCGAGCTAATATTACCACACTTTGGCTCCCTACCTTATTTTTGTTTTTTGGCCTTCTTATCTTACTTTTGCTTTTTAAGCTTACTCTCTATTCCTACCGCTTATTTCTACTTATTTCTTACTTCTACAGCTTATTTCTACTGCTTACTTTTGCTGTTTAAGCTTAACTTCATATTTTCTTACTTTTGTTTTTTAAGCTTACTCTCTGCGCGCCTCGGAGCCTCCTTTCACCTGACCACTTTTTAATTCCCCCGAACTCTGGGCTGTTCCTCATAACTCAGTCCCTTGTCCTAGAACTCAGTCCCTGGTGGGGCGCCAGTTCAAAACTTAAATGCAGGTGTATCGTTCCAATTCTTTGGTTTAGACCCCTGATTTCTTTTCCTGCCTCGAGCTGCTGGCAAAGCCCCCCACCCCACTCCCCCGCCTCCCAAAGAGCATACACAGCTTACATCCACTTAGGCTCTTACACTCTCAAAACACAGGCTTTGCATTCTTCTTGCTCAAGGATTACTCCTAATCTTCAGTGACAGCTGTATTCTCAACTTAACACATTGCGTACCGAATAGAAATCTCTAAGACATACGCCAGGGACCGCACGTTTTTGGGCAAACTGCACGTTATTTAAATCATCATAACTACAGATCATAATGCACTTTAGGTGTTGTTTTTCAATAATTATAACATTTTTATTTACAAAAACAATTAAACAATTAAAGTTCCTAGTACTTTTTTAATGTATGGTACTGCGTAAAACATTTTCCTCTATGAAGAGGGACCAAACAAAATTTACATAAGTATCTAGATTCGCTCCTTTTTCCATGGGCGGCACAAACTCTGCAGGCTCTCGTAGGAAATTTTTTCTTTCCACTCGCTGGAATACACGTAGGTTCATGCTGCTTCATATCACCTGACAGCCTTTCGGGTGGATCTTTACGAGGTGCTCTCCTTGCACCCCCAGGGGAAGGGCCGGACAGATTTGTCTCTGGTTCCGGAGAGCCTTCATTGTTGTCATCCGTTACCCAGTCTCTCGCCACCGATAGCAGAAACTGTTTATACTTCATTTTTGCTTGTGGATTGAGGACGTTGTACACTCTAAATGAATTGAAAAGTCCACAGTTTATAAGGTAAGCACTACTTTTTTTGTCCATTTCATCGTTTTCCTTAGAATGGAACAACACGAAAGGAATTGATCCACACGGTCAACGCCTTTCATGTGGGCATTGTATTCCTTGATACAGGTAGGTTTTACAATATTCTCTCCCGTTTTTCTATTTTTT